ATGCCACTCTCTTCTTAACTTGCTTTGGTTATTTTACTGCCAGTTTTTAAATGGGATCTAATAATTGCAAAGCTGAATGAAAGATAAAACAAACAGAACCATTTGAGTTTTGGCCCATAGCTAGTAGTACTATAACTAGTGAAGGCACGCTGTAATAACCTCGTTACCTATAGCATTTTTTGGTGGGGCGGATAAAGCAATGTCAAAGACCCAAAAGCGATTTTTAGGGCAAAAGGGCTCGTCAGGTGTTTTCTCTCTAAGGAACTTGCCACAGGCCAGGGCTTGCAGTCTTTCAGGAGTGGTGCGCTGGATTATATTTAGGAATCTTAAAATAAAAGGTTAAGACTGCTGGTTCACAATAGCCAATGAAATCTTGCAAACAACTATACAAATAGACCCTAATGCTATTAAAACAACATGGTATTAATACTGATTCAAAACTGAAATTAAAATTGAGATAAATACATGAAAAATGAACTGACACCTAATTATCATTTCTTAATGACTAAAATTTTGACTCACTCACACCATCTTTTAAAAAAAAAAGTGATGCACAGCACACAGTCAAGTTAATTAATGAAACATGCCAATTATTGACTGCTTTGTGTTGCATAAGCATCTGATTAAGCACCTAATTAAAACTGTACCACTGTAAGTGGAAATGCATCAACCCAACTTAGCTCCAAGGTGTTTAGATGTGAATGAAAAGTTTCTAAATTAAATATATGGCAGAATGGTTAATGGGGAAAATACACTGAAGTGCATCTACCCAGTCCTGTTGACTTCTTCTCCCAAACCCCCCATGAGTTCTGGCCTGTTAGTCTACTCGGCTCCCAGTCCCACATCAGCTTTGCCCTCTCCCAGCCTAACCAATTTCTACTGCAATTCTTAACCCCCCTCCTCAATGCAGATGGCTGGCACTGCAGCCCCTAAGGTACCTGCGTTAATCACTGTCTCTCGTACTGGGGCTATTTACATTTCAGGGAACCATTTTCAGAATTACGGACTCTGGGAGGTAGGAGAGGCTGAGAGGGAGTTTGTGCCTGACATTCTGTAGGGCCATGTTCAACTCTGGTAGCCTCCATGTTACCTCATCCTCCACCCTCTCCCATGTGTCTCTGATCATGTGTCAGAGTGTCGTCTTCTGATCATAATGCCACTGTCCTCAGCAGAGCTCCCAGACAGGAGCTACATCATGATGAGGTTACGGTACTGAGAGTTAAATACATCATAGGGAGGGTGTAATTATCCTGAAATGAACCATTACAGTCCAGGAAGTGAAATAATTAAAGTACTTCATACTTAAAGTTACACCTGAAAGGATTGGATTGTTATTAATAAATTGCTGTAATGTTGATTTCACTGTACACACACACACACAGATGAAAAAATATTTATATAGGTAATGTACAGAAAATGCTTCTGGAGAAAGTCAAGTTTGATTTAAGGATATTTACATGGTATATTTTGCGAGTGACATTGACAATTTCTCTTTGAACAGTTATATGATTTTGCTTTTGGAATCTCAACATTTACTGTTATTAAATAATTGTTGTCTGACGACCCCCATGACTTCCCACAGCTCTGAACATTGAAATTATAAACATTGAAAAAAGGGCTTAAAATAAATATCGATATCATCTATTGAAATTAAAAGAAAGAAATAGACAAA